GACAGGGTTTCACCAGGTTGCCTAGGCTGGTCTTGAACTCCTGAGTCAAGCAATCTGCCCACCTCAGCCTCCCAAAGTGCTGGGATTACAGGTGTGAGCTACAGTGCCTGGCTTATGGTTTGGAGTTAATGAGGCAATGTTTAGAAATTTATCCCTCTAAATATTCTAGTCTATTAGAAATTTATAGGCTCTACAGCAGATTCTACTGGAAAGACTATGATTACACAAAAGACTTTCAGTTCTCTTGCTAAAGTTGTGCTGGATAATAGAATTGCTCTAGATTACTTATAGGCTAAACAGAAGTATCTGTGCAGTGGCTGATACTTCTTATTGAACATGGAGGAATACATTGGGTATCACAGAGATTCAGTTGCAGGGGATTAACAAACAGGCTGCTTGGTTGAAATGAGTAGACTCTTATTCTAGCATGTTCTTTGATCTATTTGATTTTTGGTAGCTTGGTTCATGGGGACCTTGGCTAAGGAGCATACTCCAAACTTTTGGGGTTAACCTCCTGATAGTTATAATAGTAGTCTCCCTGGCATACCGTATCTCTCAAAAGTTTTAAGTGTTTGCATATAGCCATCTATAGAATGTCAAATCGTCAACCAGTGCAGTGGCTCATGCCTGTAATCCCAGTACTTTGGAAGGCCGAGGCAGGTGGATTACCTGAGGTCAGAAGTTCAAGACAAGCCTGACCAACAAGGTAAAACCCTGTCTCTACTAAAAATACAAAAATTAGCCAGGTGTGGTGGCAGGTGCCTGTAATCCCAGCCACTTGGAAGGCTGAAACAGGAGAATGGCTTGAACCTGGGAGGTGGAGGTGGTAGTAAGCCACTCCACTCCAGCCTGGGCCACAAAGGAAGACTCCATCAAAAAATAATAATAAGTCAAGTGGGATGGTCTCTCTTGAATTGGAACAAAAACTCAAAGAAATACATGACCATGAGGACACCATACTTATGAATGACGTATCGAGACCAGAAACCCAAAATCTTAACAGAATGGTGCTAAGATCCTAAGTTTTGGTCACACTCTTAGCTAAGTGAGAACCTAACCAAAAGAAAGAAATTTTTTTAATTGTTACAAAACCCAAAATAATTTTAATCTCAATTTGCAACATAATCCACATTTTATATGTCTAGAAACAAAAAAAGTTTTAGCATACAAACGCCTCAGAAAGAATTCAATTTGGTTCAGTGATTTTATAGTCAGAGTATCTAGGACAAAGACATATTTATAATTTTTTGTCCAGGTTTTTAAATAAAAATCAGTAATGTTAAATGGAATACTATCATTTTATAGAGAAATAGTGTGAAATTACATTGAGAAGTGAGAATAGTCATTAAACATTAAGATTTTATTACACCCCAGACAGTATATATTTCTTTACGCTTAAGGAATAGATATTAAACAACCTTGGAGTGAAAAATAGAAGGCAACTTGCTTCAAGTTTGTACCAAGTCAATCAAGCAGAAACCTGAAAAACCTTGTTTTAAGATGAGGGGCATTTATATTTCGAAGACATTTTCTTCCAATGAAAAAATAAAATCAATGTTCCATTATCTTTGCACTTATATAAATGTTTATAAAAAGCATTTAAGACATTGTTTCTCACAGGTGGCTGAATATTGGAATCACCTAGATTAAAAAAAATACTAATCCCTATATAACCCTACAATTCAGATTTAATTGGTATAAGTTAGAAAAGGAGGAATTTTTTTTTTTTTTGAGACAGAGTCTCACTCTTGTTGCCCAGGCTGGAGTGCAATGGTGCGATCTTGGCTCACCACAACCTCCACCTCCCGAGTTCAAGCAATTCTCCTGCCTCAGTCTCCTGAGTAGCTGGGATTACAGGCATGCACCACCATGCCTGGCCAATTTTTGTATTTTTAGTAGAGACAGGGTTTCTCCATGTTGGTCAGGTTGGTCTCAAACTCTTGACCTCAGGTGATCTGCCCGCCTTGGTCTCCCAAAGTGCTGGGATTACAGGTGTGAGCCACCACATCTGGCCAGAAAGGGAGGAATTTTTAAAGGGAATTATGGGAGGTCATTGTTTTGGGCTAAGCTCATGCACGAGGCCCCAACAGATCACACCAAACTAAAATGGAGCCACTCATGTTAAATGTGAGATAATTAAATTGAAACATTAAAGAAACAGATTCTATTTTGTTTTTCTCTTGAAAACATGAAATTTCAGCACAAGGAGGTCCCCTCTACTCTTACCCTTAGAAAAAAGTAACCTTAAGTCCTTGTTCCCATTTTACAAAATCCATTGTTCTGCTATTTCCCAGTGGGATTTGAGACCAATAAGTAAATTTATGACGGTGACAGAGTGAAATCAATGCCAATCCACAAAAAACCCCAAAATTTGAGAGGTCAATTGAAGGGGATAACTGTTAAATTAAGTTTTGTCTAAAGCTACCTCCTTTCATCTTTTAAGTTCAGCCCAAAGGCTTCTCTGAACATAGTACACTGTAACCCAGGCCAGGCGCAGTGGCTCATACCTGTAATCCCAGCACTTTGGGAGGCCAAGGCAGGTGGATCACCTGAGGTCAGGAGTTTGAAACCAGCCTGGCCAACACAGTGAAACCCTGTCTCGACTAAAAATACAAAAATTAGCCAGGCATAGTGGTGCATGCTTGTAGCTCCAACTATTCCAGAGGCTAAGGCAGGAGAACTGCTTGAACCTAAGAGGCGGAGGCTGTAGTGAGCCAAGATCACGACACTGTACTCAGCCTGGGCTACAGAGTGAGACTCTGTCTCAAAACAAAAACAAACAAAACAAAAAACTGTAACCTAACTGGATGTGTAAATACGATATAAGCTACTTGAGTACCAATAGTTAAGTTTCAGCCAATCAATTACAGCTAACCATTCAAAACATCTTCAAATAAGGCAAATGCCAAGCTGTAACCAATCCATCTGTTTGTGTGCTTCATTCCCATATTCTGTATGCCACTTTCCTTTTTCTGTCCATAAATCTTCTTTAGCCATGCATCTGCTGGAAGTCTCTCTGAACCTATTCTTGTTCCAGGGGCTGCCTGATTTGCAAATCATTCTTTGCTCAATTATAAACTCTGTTAAATTTAATTTGTCTTAAGTTTTTAACAGAAGATATTATTAGCTCTATTTTACAAAGGTGAACATTGAAGAATAATGAGATTTAATAAATTATCCATGGTAATAAATCCAGGTAGTGGCAAATCTGAAAATTAAACCTAAACTGTCATCAAAAGACTGATGCTGTTACTATCCCACAAAAAGTAGTTGTGATATTGTGAAATATACATTTGTTCTTCATTCCCATTTTCTAGCAGACAACTCCTAAAATCCTTAGAAACTCCAAAGTGTGGTCTTTTTGTATGCTAATGATTGCCTAATAGCTGGTAGCCTGTAGGTGGCTTCAGGATGGGGTCTGGTCACTGGAAAGTCAAGGCAGGATTACAGGGGTGGGCTTCCACCCCCATACCCCAACCTTCAAGGAGGTGAAAGGGGCCAAAGGTTAAGTTGATAACTAATGGCCAACAGTTTAATGAGTTAGGCCTATGTAATGAAGCGTCCATAAAAACCCAAAAGGATGGAGTTTGGAGAGCTTCTGGCCAGCTGAACACAGAGGTTTCCTGGAGGGTGGGTGTAGCCAGGAATGGCATGGAAGCTCCATACTCCCTTCCCATACCTCACCCTATGCATATCTTTATCTACATCCTTTGTAATATCTTTCATAATAAAAAAGTAAACACAAGTGTTTTCCTGAGTTTTGCGAGTTGCTCTATCAGATGAATCTACCCCAAAGAGGAGGTCACAGGAACCCCTGACCAGAGGCCTGGACTTGTTACTGGCATCTGAAGCAGAGTGCAGCCTTAAGAGACTGAGCCCTCAATCTGTGGAATCTGACGCTATCTCCAGGTGGATAGTGTAATAACTGAATTGGAGCCCACCCAGCTGGTATCCACTGCAGAGCTGATTGTTTGCTTGGTGTGTAGGGAAACCCTCCCCACATTTAGTCACAAGAGTCTTCTGTGTTGATTGCTATGGTGTGAGATCCAAGAAAAAATGTGGTTTCAGCTTGTGTTTTTTCCATTCACAGTGGTCTGTAGGGACATCTAGTAGAATGAATCAAGGAATTTACTATGATTAACAAATTTTTCATCAAACTATTGAGAAGAAACTTTTCTTTCTTTTATTTAGTTATTTTTGAGATGGAGTCTCACTGTGTTGCCAGGCTGGAGTGCAGTGGTCCCATCTCGGCTCACTGGAACCTCTGCCTCCCGGGTTCAAGTGATTCTCCTGCCTCAGCCTAGTGAGTAGCTGGGACTAAAGGCATGTGCCACCATGCCCAGGTAATTTTTGTATTTTTAGAAGAGATGAAGTTTCACCATGTTGGCCAGGATGGTCTCGATCTCCTGATCTTGTGATCACCCTGCCTCAGCCTCCCAAAGTGCTGGGATTACAGGTGTGAGCAACTGCACACAGCTCAGAAGAAACATTTTTGTTTTCTTTTCTTTTTTTTCTTCAATCCTGCTCCTTCTGTATTTAAAAATTTTTTTTTATTTTTTTTTTTGAGAAGAAACATTTTTAAAAGTTCAGTGATTAGGCCGGGAGTGGTGGCTCAATCCTGTAATCCCAGCACTTTGGGAGGCCAAGGCAGGGGGTCACCTGAGGCCAGGAGTTTGAGACCAGCCTGGCCAACATGGTGAAACCCTGTCTCTACTAAAAATACAAAATTAGCTGGGCGTGGTGACACATGCCTGCAATCCTAGCTACTTGGAGGCTGAGGCAGGAGAATCACTTGAACCCGGGAGGTGGAGGTTATAGTGAGCTGGGATCACGCCACTGCACTCCAGCCAGTGAGACTCTCATCTCAAAAAAAAAGAAAAAAAAAAAGTTCAGTGATTAAATATACTCCATATTCAGGCAACATTTGTTGGAACATTAGATGAGTAAGTTAAAGTCTAAACACAAAAAAGTCCCAGAGCCAAGGTAATGACATGCCTTACTTCAATATTTCTTCTCTGCACTGCCTCTGTGTGGCAAAACAAGCGATAGCCCACATTTTGATTTCAACTCCTGTGTGGAACTGTTTCCCTCGCATGTCCCATACTCCATGGCTCGGTGTTGCAACTGTCCGATTCTACAGGAGGAGAAAAAAATAACACGGTGAAAAAGAACAAAAATTTTCAATAAATGGAAAGTAAAAATTTCAAATCATTGAACTGAAATATTTCTGATATGCCTTTTTCTCCATACTTACAAACTATGTGTATGATTAAAACATTAACAACAGGCTTTACCCGTCCTCCATACTGGAGCATAGGTGCTGGAAGTACACGTCCAGTTACATGAGCCATTTCATCCCGAACTTTAAATTGAAACTCCTGGACAAATGGATCCGTTTCATAATTTGCACTTCTTACCTATAACAATAGAAAAAGTTTGTAGTTACTATCAAAATTCCCCCAAATCCTCTATTTTAATGCATTAGAACCCTCTTTTTTTCTTCACTGTATTAACAATATGTTTTCCAACAGGTCTGATCAACAGTGCTCTAACTACAGAACAGAGAATCTTAACCTGGGGACCATGGGTCATGAACAGACTATAGAAATTCCTGGTAATTTATACAAAATATATATGTGTGCATTAGGTTGAATAATACATTTTGGCCTGGCATAGTAGTTCAGGCCTGTGATCTCAGCACTTTGGGAGGCCAAGTTGGAGGACTGCTTGAGCCCAGGAGCTTGAAACCAGTCTGGGCAACATAGTGAGACCCTGTCTTTACAAAAAATTAAAAAATTAGACTGGACGTGGTGGCTTATACGTCTGTAATTCCAGCACTTTAAGAGGCTGAGGCAGGAGAATCTCTTGAGCTCAGGAGCTCAAGACGAACCTGGGCAAAAAAGTAAGATCTCATTTCCACAAAAAATAAAAAAAAATAGCCAGGTGTGGTACCAGGTGCCTGTGGTCCCAGCTGTTTGGGAGCCTGAGGTGAGGGAACTGCTTGAGCCTGGAAGCTCAAGGCTGCAGTGGGCTGTGATTGCACCACTGTACTCCAGCATGGGGGTCAGAGCAAGACCCAGTCTCAAAAGAAAAAAAAAAATCCATGAAAATGATAATTCATCTTTTTTTATTTTTCATTTCTATTTTCTTTTTTTTTTTTCCCATGCACTTAGGGCATATCTTTTTTTATTTTTTAAAGAGATGGAGTCTTGCTATGTTATTTAGGCTGGCTTTGAACTCCTGGGCTCAAGCCATCTTCCTCTCTCAGCCTCCTGGGTAGCTGAGAATAAAGGCATGCACCACTATGTACTATCCAGCTGAAAATGGTAATTTTGTATGATTGAACCTAATATGCTTTCAGATGGACAAATATCTCAACTAAAAAGAGGTTAAGAACGTCTGATTATAGAGGATCTAAATACATTCTATTAAAATTTATTTTTGTGTAGAGTTTGACAGGAAATATTAAAAATCCTAAGGTTTTTTCCTTAATTATTTGATTTATAATTTATATAAAATTTACTTGACTGTTTTCAGATAAATAGTGCCATATTATAAAATTTATTTAATGGAATACACTTGAGACAGATAAGAAAGCCAGTATGAGTTACAGGTTATAATTTTTATATATTTCCATTCATATAATCAAAGATAAATAACTTAATGTACAGTAATTCAGTGTTGGATCTCACCGAAATTTATGCTTAAAGCATGCTATACAGAATCTCCCCATAAAAAGCAGGAAAATTAATTTTCTTTTCTTTTTCTTTGAGACAGGGTCTCACGCTATTGCCCAGTGGCGCAATCACAGCTCTCTGCAACTTCAATCTTCTTAGGCCCAAGTGATCCTCCCACCTCTGCCTCCTGAGTAGCTGGGACTATAGATTCATGCCACATACCCAGCTAATTAAAATATTTTTGGAGAGATGGGGGTCTATGTTGCCCAAGCTGGTCTCGAACTCCTGGGCTCAACTGATCCTCCTGCCTCAGCCTCCCAAAGCGACAGGTGTAAGCTTCATTTTCTAAATTAGGCACCAATGCACCTTTTTTTTTTAAAAAATGAAGTTTCACTCTTGTTGCCCAGGCTGGAGTACAGGTGCACAATCTCAGCTCACTGCAACCTCCGCCTCCTGGGTTCAAGCAATTCTCCTGCCTCAGCCTCCTGAGTAGCTAGCAGCTGGGATTACAGGTGCCTGCCACCAGGCTCGGCTAATTTTTGTATTTTTGGTAGAGATGGGGTTTCACCATGTTGGCCAGGCCGGTCTTGAACTCCTGACCTCAGGTGATCTGCCCCTCTCGGCTCCCAAAGTGCTGGGATTACAGGTGTGAGCAACCCCACCCGGCCCATCCAATGCATCTTTTTCAAGCTTATTTGCCATTCATTTCTGCATTTCAGTGTATCCTGTGATAAGCTTATAACGAATAGCGACGACTAGTATTTACTATGACTTGGTGCATGATGTCGTTGGTGCTAATATGCTTAATGATAAATTTTCACAAGTATTTTATAGCTACGAAAGCAGTTCTTTTATAATCTGTATTTTACAGAGGCTACAACAAAAGCTTAGTAAAGTTAAATGATTGCCAAAAATCACACAGCTAAGTGATGTAGATGGAATCTGAAACCATGTATATTCTGATTCTAGAGTGTCTACTCTTAATTACTACATTATCTTTCCAGATGCTATAAATATAATAATATGATAACAGTAACAGTAAGAAAGTGGAGAAGCTAGACTTCGAACCCATGGTTGTTACACTCCAATTCTGTTTTATTTTTTTAAACTTCTATATGATACTTTCTGACCAGTTAAGCTGTAATAAATGAGAACAGTTAGTTATTGAGACTTTTATAGAGAAAGTAAGAGGTCATCGTTTCTGGAAGATTTTGGGAAAGTTTTTAAAATCTTACAGTAGAATAAGAGAAAAATCCAGGATGAGAACCAGCCTATATTTTTCTAGTTAAATATGATGTAATAACTTTCATTGACTCTTTACAGAAGAGTCAATAAGGAAAAAAAAGGTATTTTTTCTGTAGTTGGCTTACCAAATAAAAGAGCCAGTTTTTAGCCAAAGATTAAATTACTAAGGTTAAAAAATAAATAAAAATAAATTGGTTGGGCATGGTGGCTCACGCCTGTAATCCCAGCACTTTGGGAGGCTGAGGTGGGTGGATCACGAGGTCAGGAGTGGAAGACCAGCCTGGCCAACATGATGAAACCCCATCTCTACTAAAAATACAAAAATTAGCTGGGCATTGTGGTGGGTACCTGTAATCCCAGCTACTTGGGAGGCTGAGGCAGAGAGCTGCTTGAACACAGGAGGCAGACATTGCAATGAACCAAGATCATGCCACTGCACTCCAGCCTGGGTGACAGAGTGAGACTTCATCTCAAAAAAAAAAAAAAAATAAATAAATAAATAAATAAATAAAAATTAATTAAAAGAGCCAGTTTTGCACCCCCATTTTCAATAATCTTTAAAATTTCTTTTTGGAAGTGTTATTATGTTGTTTTGGGAAATATTAATATTCCAGGTTTTTTTTCTCCTCGCTTGGGCAGTTAAAATGGTATTCAACAACAGAGCCAGATAAGATTCAGATACCTTTTTATCTTGAGTTTTGCCTAATTGTATGAGTTTTATAAAGTGGTATTGGTAACTCCTTCCTTCCCCTCATTTAGAACAATGAGACAGCATACAGACCTTACATGGTTAAAGCTGTCTTCTGTTTTCTTTCTTTTCTTATCTTTTTTTTTTTTTTTTGAGACAGAGTCTCACTTTGTTGTCCAGGCTGGAGTGCAGTGATGCAATCTCAGCTCACTGCAGCCTTTGCCTCCCAGGTTCAAGCGATTCTTGTGTCTTAGCCACATGACTTGCTGGGATTACAGATGCATGCCACCATGCCCTGCTAATTTTTGTATTTTTTAGTAGAGATGGCATTTCGCCATGTTTCCCAGGCTGGTTCCAAACTCCTGGCCTCAGGTGAACCACCCACTTTGGCCTCCCAAACTGCTGGGATTACAGAGCTGAGCCACTGAACCCAGTCAATCTTCCACTTCTTTATTCAGACTGTACAGCTGCCACTCTGATACTGGGGACCAAGCAATCTTGGACTGAGTATTAAGAATTTTAGAATTGCTAGTCATAATTCCTTGACTTTTCCTCCTATCTCCCACCTCTTTCAGGTGGAGGTTCCAGTTTACTAAATTAAAACATTTCTTCTGAGAGGATCCCCTGGATCTACTTAAAAAGCTCAGGATTGGCCGGACGCAGTGGCTCACACTGGTAAGCCCATCACTTTGGGAGGCCATGGCAGGTGGATCACCTGAGGTCAGGAGTTTGAGACCAGCCCAACAAACATGGAGAAACCCGCCGCTGCTAAAAATACAAAAATTAGCTGGGCATGGTGGCACATGTCTGTAATCCCAGCTACTAGGGAGGCTGAGGCAGGAGAATCGCTTGAACCCAGGAGGCGGAGGTTGCAGTGAGCCGAGATTATGCCATTGCACTCCAGGCTGGGCAACAACAGTGAAACTCTGTCTCAAAACACAAAACAAAACAAAAAAAACACCCCCCCTAAAAACAAACAAAACAAACCCCTCAGGGTTAAATGAGAAGCACCTGACCCTTCTTATATAGCCCACCAAGGCTTGTATCCAGAACAACATTAGATTACTTCCATGATCCCTTTCAATTCTGAGAGTCCATGAAATGGTAATAAGGTATGGGCTGATAAGGACCTGGTTCTCTAGTATTATAGTTCATCCTAATATGTTTTAAATTCCCATTTCTAAGGTTAAATACTAACCAATCTGCTAATTTCCTCTTGTCTATCTGGTGCAGATCTTGCTGTTGCCTTGATCATAGTGGAAGTCTGATTGTCTGTGAGCTTCTTGATACATCGTTGCCCTGCCACAATATTGCAGACCTACAAATGGAAAAAAGTTTTGTACTAGATGTGTGTATCTTTTTTTTTTTTT